GGTGAGAGAGAGGTGGGAGAGAGGAAGATGGAGAGAGAGGGGGAGAGAGAGAGGTGGGAGAGTGGGGGGTGGAGGAAGATGAGAGAGAGAGGGGGGAGAGAGAGAGGGTGGGAGAGGGGGTGGGAGGAGATGAAGAGAGAGAGGAGAGGGGTGGAGAGAGAGAGGGTGGAGAGAGAGAGGGGTGGGAGAGGGGGGTGGAGGAAGATGAGAGAGAGAGGGTGGAGAGAGAGAGGTGGGAGAGGGGGGGTGGAGGAAGATGAGAGAGAGAGGGTGGAGAGAGAGAGGGTGGAGAGAGAGAGGGAGAGATGAGAGAGAACGAAACAAGCACTAAAGTGCAAACCCTCGGCTGGGCTATTAGTATGCTCAGAGTGTCAGGTCCAGAGAAGAGTGAGAGAGAGAGAGAGAGAGGGAGAGATGTTACCAGGAGGGTTCCAGGCGGACATGATGATTCTCCTGTCATTTGGGTTAGTCCTGATTGTCTGGATCACCTGACCAACCAGACAACAGAATTAGGTATAATTACTCTGTCTTGCACAACAAACACAACTCATACTGAAATACTAGTAGTTTCCAAAGATGTACTCCATTTTATAGCAAATACACATTTGTAATTTAAGCATATGCAAAAAACACAAAATGTACTACTTTGCCATTCACATTGAAAATAACACTGAACTGCGGTACCGCTAATATGATGGACTGGGCGATTAGTATGGGGCGGAGGGCTCAAAAGCACAGAGTGTATATACCTGAGTCAGTTGGTCCACCCCCTGACCACTGTATGAATAATGTAAAGTAAAAATTTGTGGGACAAGATGACTTCATACACTCCATTTTTACACTCAAAGTTTCCTTCACTTCTGGTACATTTCTTATGATGTAAGAATGATGTAATCATAAAGGTCATGTGACCCACCTTCTTCTCGATGATGTAATCCTCTCTTGTCGAGGAAGTCACGTGACCCATTGGCGTCCCAGATCTTGACCTTCTTCTGGGAGAGGTGTTTGGCGTTAGTATCGCCAGAGATGAACCACAGCAGCTCTTCGACCACGCCCCTCCAGAACACTCGCTTCGTAGTCAGCAACGGGAACTGGTCACGCAGGTTAAACCTGTTTGGGAGAGGAGAGAGAAAGAGGGAGGTTTCTTTAAGACTTCATTAGGGATTGGAAAAAGGTGGGAGGGACACAGTGGAAAATGCTGACAATTTTGTGGAAAAGCGAGATACATATTCAATATACAAAGTTTTTCTCCTCCCAAGTAACTACTGCTACATTACACACACAGATATATTGGGATATTCTAACATTAGTGACCTCATCTGTGCTCCAAATATGGACCTGGTCCCCACGCCAGTCCGGTCCCCCTTCTCCTGTCCGTGTTCCAGGATGGTCCTGATCAGATCCAGGTACTGGTCCTCGTCATGACGACGGGGGGCGAGGGGTCTGGGGACTGAGACAACTGCTGGCTCTGCTGTGAGAGGAGAGAGAGGTTTAGATTATTTTTGTTGCAACTATTGGGATTCCAGTGTTCCTATAAACTAGAACTAATGGAAACATTTTTACTGCGAGAACACACGAGAGTCACACACATGCAAGCGGCATACACTGATTGCAAATGTGTCCACGTTTATTCATAATGACGCAGGCCATTACTGTGGCAACAGGGGCCAACCTTGGAGTCACACAGTGGACAGCGAGGAGAGCACAACATCAGAAACAAACAGAAAATGTGTGCAATGGAGACGACTACTAGGCTGACCAGCTGTAGTCTCCATCTTGTCAGGAGGAGAGGAGACGACATTAGCCAGAGACGACACGTTCTCTCCCACCTCCATACTGTCTAGCAACCACCTGGCAACTGAGAGAGAGAAAAGGGAGGGAGATCAGAAAGGAAATAAAAACAACGCACACGCTGGGACTCGGCCTAACTTACCTCAAAAAAGAACGAGAGAGAGATAGCGATGATAAAGACAGCGGGAAAGAAGAGTCACGACCGAGACGCCAAAAAGTGAATTTTGTTTACATGTCGTTTTCCCGCCAGAAGTTCCCGCCAACTGCATGCAAACTGCGCGCTATTTAGAGAAACAACAGCGCGCATGCTCCAAGCCACGTTTTGAACTCTGAACCAATTCTCGTGTGTAGAGCTGGATGAAGATCATGACGACTGGTGGAGTTAGCGGCGAGGGAGAGGGAGGAAGGGATGGAGAGAGAGAAGGAGGACACAGGAAAATGGCGAATGCTCTCTCTCACATCTTGTCTTCTACTGAGGCCGGGAGAGTAAGTTTTTTTTATGCACAGGTCACGTGAAACTTAGTAGCTAGAATAGAATAGAAACCCCTTTGGAAGTGCCCTTATTTGGTGGTAACAATACACTAATGTATTAGTATGGGGTAGAAGTAAGTGTCCTTTATAAAGAGGTGTCATTTATTCAGAGGGTCCTTTATACTGTATTATTGAGAGAGGCTTTGTGTATCAATGTCTCCTCAGCAGCAGCGGGAGATGGGTAGGGGGAAGGTGGGGAAGAGAGTCAGAGATGGAAGGAGTCCACCAGTGAGGAAGAGAAGAAGACAGCAGCAAATGTAAGTGACCACCATATAATACAGTAGAACCTCCAATACAGTACTCTGTGAATAGAGGACACACGTTTAGGTCCCAAACGTTTGTTCACTTTTCAAAAGAGGAAAAACTTCCCTAAGAAGGACAAAATGCCTGGTTCCAACGTGTCCTTTATTCGGAGGTTCCACTGTATTATCATACACCAAAGAAAACAGGTAAAGATAATTGTGTGAAACTAAGTCTGTTGTAAAAACAGACCCCCTCACTTGTTGCAAACTTTCAGATTGAATTCTTAGAAACCTAGAATTCAACAAATTTCGTGTGTTAGAATGGCAGACTCTGGATCAGAGGACGGAGGGGTTTCCCCCAGTTCTGATGATGATGATGTCGTCAGTACTGCTGGTGATGTCGTGGCCAGTTGCCGACGGTTACCAGATGCATCGACGCTTGACTACGAACGCAGACTCCAGAAGATAGCAACTACTGGTGGTGGGTGGAACCCTACTCGTTAGATGTAGTTGCACAATAGGAAAATCTTGGCAATGGGTCAATAATGTAGCCCATGTTGAGATGGTTGATATTTTGCCAACTGAAAGGCTCCCAAACGTGTCCGGTGTGTACTTTAGAAACCTCTCTCAGCAAAAAAAAATTTTCAATTATAGACTAACATAAAATGTTACGCACACACAAAGACACATGCAGTATATACCACCTTCACATGCATGCCACGCCTAAACCACTGTTTTATTTAGCTTCTTTTCTTTTTCCCTACTTGCTTTCAATTGCATTATTAGACAGACAAACCTTTGCTAATTCTCATATTTCCCTCCCTCCCTCCCTCATCCAGTGGTGCAGCTATTCAATGCAGTAAGCCAACACTCCAAACAGCTCCAGACACAAGTAAAGGCAGCCGGCCCCGGCACTTCTCAGAAGAAAAAGGCCAAAGGTCAGTTTTTGTTTCCCTAAAACACTAAACATGAATGATATTTTTGTGTGCAGTGTTCTCTATAATGTTTGTCTCTCTCACGGTGTATATATAATGTTTGTCTCTCTCACGGTGTATATATAATGTGTGTCTCTCTCACGGTGTATATATAATGTTTGTCTCTCTCACGGTGTATATATAATGTTTGTCTCTCACGGTGTATATATAATGTGTGTCTCTCTCACGGTGTATATATAATGTTTGTCTCTCTCACGGTGTATATATAATGTTTGTCTCTCTCACGGTGTATATATAATGTTTGTCTCTCACGGTGTATATATAATGTGTGTCTCTCTCACGGTGTATATATAACGTGTGTCTCTCTCACGGTGTATATATAATGTTTGTCTCTCTCACGGTGTATATATAATGTTGGTCTCTCTCACGGTGTATATTATAATGCTTTGTCTCTCTCACGGTGTATATTATGAATGTTTGTCTCTCTCACGGTGTGTATATATAATGGTTGTCTCTCACGGAGTCATATAATGTCGGTCTCTTCACGGTGTATATATACTGCTTTGTCTCTCTCACGAGTGTATATTGAGAATGCTTTGTCTCTCTCACGGTGTATATATAATTTGGTCTCGCTTCCGGTGTTGTAATGTATAATGTCGTCTCTCACGGTGTATGTGATATTTATAAGGTTGGTCTTCTCTCACGGTAGATAGAAGATGTCTCTCTCACGGTTTTCGTATGATATAATGTTGGCCTCTCGCACGGTGTATATTATAATCTTTGTCTATCTCAGGTGTTTGTATATTATAATGTTGTTCTCTCTCACGGTGTGTATATATAATGTTTGCGGTCTCTCTCCCACGTGGTATATATAATTGTGTTCTCTCTCACGGCGTGTATTATAATGCTTTTGTCTCTCATCACGGTTTTCGTTTGTATTATAATGTGTGTCTCTCCTATCACGGTGTATATATAATGTGTGTCTCTTCACGGTGTGTATTTTTTGTGTATTTTGATATATAAGGTGTGTCTCTTTCTACACGGGTGTATATATACATGTGTGTCTCTCTCTCACGGTGAT